AATGTGTCATGGTTTGACGCAAGGCATTTGGAATGTTCAAGGTCACGTACATTCCTTTACAGTTTTTCCTAGCGAAATATTGTAAGTTGCTTCCCCTTACAAGATTGCTTACATGAATAACTTTAGAATGTGGCATGACCTTGACTCAAGGTCACGTCTTCCTTCCGCAGCTCCAACGGAAGACCTATTCGTTGCTTTGCAACGAGCTCGCTCTAGTTAACTTTACGTTTGTGCATTGTATACGTCTTAATCGTGTAAAATATTTCGAATTCGTGTATTTTTTCGTCATGTTTTGTGTAAAAGTCTTTCTAGCTATGTGCAACTTTTACCGAAATGTGCAATTTTAATTTACTCGTGTATATTTTTCAACAAGCTCGTCTATCGCGATCGTTGTGCAGAAAATACTTTTGACGAGATCGGCGTGCCATATGATATTAATAGAATCATTCATTACAACGAGTGTGGGATAGTGAAATTCCACCAAGGGGACAAGATTCACGGTCTAGGACGAGGCTTTGCCGAGTCCTAGACCGTGAATCTTGGCCCCGAGGTGGAATTTCACTATTCCCACACGAGTATGTAATGAATGATTATTTTTCTCGCATTATTTAATCCAAAATAACGGCCTGTCAATGACGTCGCTATGATAGGGCTAAAAATATATTCTTTTAATTTTCCATCTAATTAAAAATCTAAATACACCATCAGAGAGAGCGTACCTGAAAATGGTTTACACGCAGTGTAAACTGGTAAAATTACGAAAGCCGGATAGGCTCATTTTTGACAAGATAAAAAAATAATTAACTCGTTATAACGAGAAAGTTATCTCGTTATAACGAGTTAGTTATCTCGTTATAACGAGTTAGTTATCTCGTTATAACGAGATAACTAACTCGTTATAACGAGATAACTAACTCGTTATAACGAGTTAGTATCTCGTTATAACGAGATAATTATCTCGTTATAACGAGTTAGTATCTCGTTATAACGAGTTAGTTATCTCGTTATAACGAGTTAGTTATCTCGTTATAACGAGATAATTATCTCGTTATAACGAGATACTAACTCGTTATAACGAGATAATTATCTCGTTATAACGAGTTATTTATGTCGTTATAACGAGACAGTTTTCTTGTTATTTCGAGACTTAATAGCAATATAGGAATAAAAATGGCTGCAGTTTTAAATGCCGTTGAATTTTTAGCAAGTAATTATCAGTCAAATTTAACTTGAACAATTGATAAATGGTTGAAATTTTAATTTGCTCTGCATGGGGTTTACTTATGATTAAATCTTGAACTATCTCGCTGTCAATAATCATAGCAACTCTAAGGCGAACACATTTACACATTTTCGTGAACTCTTCCTCAAATTGTTGCATTAGGACGCGATTTTTTTCTTAAAATAATATTGCCAAACATACTTGCTTCAAACTTTGGCAATTTATTTATGACAACTATTTCTGATGAATGACACTATTTCGATATGTTTTGGACGACTTACTGGTATACACTTTCATATATCAATTTCTATACCGCTAAAATTAAATATCAGAGACAATATAAGTGCAACATATCGTTTATGCAACATATAATATATAGATTACAGTGTTATACATATGTTACTTCTGAGATTCAGAAATGTTTTGAAGACGGGGGATGGTGAGACATCAGCAGTTAGATCATAGGCGTAGTAATAGAGAGGCTAATGTCCACACCACCACTTTTGAAAAGGGGGCGGTCAAGAGTATCTTCGTGCCCCTTCCTCCATATTTTTTTACCTGAGTAAATATCTCCCGAAAATAATGGCGAATACTCGTAGTTGGAATATCAAATCTATTTTTTTTCTTTTTACTTGTCAAATATTTTACTTGGTTTACCCCCCCCCCCCTTTGAACTTCGTGGCTTATGCATATTGTCCGCCAAAATGAGGAATGGTGAAGCAAAAATGATATTACATCCTTTTAAGTAATAAGACGTTAAATCTGATCTGCTGATATTGGCATTTTATCTAATATTCTGTCATGATTCACTGTTCATATTTTTTGCGGGGGGGGGGGGGGGAGGGAGGGTCCAAGTTGTGGAGATTCACGGAGACCTATTTGAGATTCACGTCTATTTGGCGGATCCTATATGTTTACCACATAGTGTCAGAACGTCAAACCAGAGTTTACAAAACAAAAAAAAGTTTACAGAGTTTACAAAGCCAGTTCACTTTTATAATCTTTTTACTTAGGATTGATCAACGAATAGGCCTAATGCTACATATGTACATTTATATTATTAATACAACATTGAAGCAATGTCGTTAATTATTTTCCTCATCACAATATTTATTATGTATACTTTACAAGCATATAATTTTTATTTCAAAAAGAGATTGATGATTTTTTTTTTCGGGGGGGGGGGGGGGGTAATAAATAGAGGATATTCAATGTTTTGTAGTTGATATGGAATTTATTTCACGAGTGGGACAGGGATTTTTTTTTTTATTTTCATGAGTGCGAAGCACGAGTGAAAATATCAAAAATCACATTTCTTGGCAAAATTTATGCTTGAAATACACCTTAAGTAATGCTTATCATATTGTAAACTTTAGATATTAAACTTTCATTCTATACCCAAAAAGGATCACATGTCAACTGTTTTATTGTGGCTTCCGTAGAATAAAGAGCTCCAAAAGTTTTTTTTTTAATTCTACCACATTGATAATAACGCAAAAATTACATATTGTAATTTAAAATTCCATGCCAAATTGGTAAATTAAAATGTTTCTTTCTTTTAATAAACAGAAGAAATATATAAATTATTAAGTGATAAGTACAGTATTAGTTCTTGATATTCATTATTGAGGGGAAGGAGGGATTGATGATAAAAACAACGTGAATTTATTTTTTTTGTCAGACATTGAATTTTGATCTTGCCCCTTTAAGACGATAAAATTGAACTGGTATTCCTTGTTAACAGGCAAGGAATTATCAAAATATGATCGTTAAAGCCTAACAAATGGTTTCATATCCACATGATTTATTCGGAATATTCAAAATAATGGGATTATTTCTATGCATTTTTTATTGCGACAAATATTACGCAAACATTATTATAATTTTAACAAATTCAAGAAAGCTTGAACAGGGCAGTTAAATCAGCCAGAGTATATCATTTTTTTCTGATCTCCTTGTACAAGTTGACAAAATTTTGATCTTATATACATTCCATTTGAAGATGACACTAATTTTATTTTGCAATTTTAAGGTATAACACAACAACATGAGGCGGTCACAAGTTTCCGTATATTTGTCTTCGGTCTTTCCAATAAACAATACTAATCAAAGGTATAACACAAAAAAACTAGTATGCTGTTCCATAGAATCTTTATCACGCACACTTCAAACAAATTTGATCGACTTGCTTCTGTATATTTCCTATAAATAATGGTCTATTCTTTACTTAAATATATCAATTCTAGATCAATTTTTATCTCGTTATAACGAGATAATTATCTCGTTATAAAGAGATAATTATCTCGTTATAACGAGATAACTAATTCGTTATAACGAGATAATTATCTCGTTATAACGAGATAACTAACTCGTTATAACGAGATACTAACTCGTTATAACGAGATACTAACTCGTTATAACGAGATAACTAACTCGTTATAACGAGATAACTAACTCGTTATAACGAGATACTAACTCGTTATAACGAGATAACTAACTCGTTATAACGAGATAACTTACTCGTTATAACGAGATACTAACTCGTTATAACGAGATAACTAACTCGTTATAACGAGATAACTAACTCGTTATAACGAGATAATTATCTTGTTATAACGAGATAACTAACTCGTTATAACGAGATACTAACTCGTTATAACGAAATACTAACTCGTTATAACGAGATACTAACTCGTTATAACGAGATAATTTTCTCATTATAACGAGATAACTAACTCGTTATAACGAGATAACTAACTCGTTATAACGAGATACTAACTCGTTATTACGAGATAATTATCTCGTTATAACGAGTTAAATATTTTTTTCTCTTGTCAAAAATGAGCCTATCCGGCTTTCGTATAAAATGAATTTCAGTCCATGTAAATTAATTAGATAGATAAAAACTGGGAATAAAAAAATTTATCTATCCGAAAGCGTACAAGAAGACCCTTCCGCGATCTAAAAATAGTGCCATTTAAAAAGTGAAAATATGACAATATTTTGAATGAAAATAAGTTTATCTTAATAAGTCAAATGACAACATTTTAAGTATATGTAATATTTTTTAACATTGTTACAATTTCTTTATATAAAGACGGAATGTTTACGTTATCGTTCGCGGCGTAGTAATACACAGTGTAAGACAGAAAAATCTCACACTGCTGTCTCACACCGGACAAGTCAATCTCACACCGGTGATTATGCGAGAAACCTTTATCTGCAAGTGAGTACATACATTTAATATATTGAATCTTATCATCCTTCTGTTTAGATTTTCTCATTTAGAGATCTATATATTGTTGTTTCTTTTTAATAATGATACTAAATAGATTTCTTTTATTCGGCAAAAGAGAACCATTTGTTACAATGTCAAATATACAAGACTTTCTATCAGCTGTCTATTTCGATATTCATTCCAGGAAAACGCTATCCTATGGCTGAACATTTGCAATGAAAAATGAACAGAATTTATCTAAGTCAACCTTCTGGTAGTAAAAAACAAGTGCTTCAGAACTAGCAAATAAATAGCAGCAATTTAAAAAAAAGAAATAAGGGAATAAATCAGACTTTCGAAAATTCCATTCCCCTAAAAACAAAGAATGATAAAATTATAGAGTGCATATGCCATCGTAGCAAGCCACAGGTATTTGATAGCTATTGATCCTACAGGACACAGGCGTGGTGTATTTGCGTTAATTTTAAGAAGTTTCGCTATTTCAGACTGGCTTGATGTACCATCTTTCTTTGCATAATAATGAAAGACCTACAGTACTGGAGAAAATATTTGGCTCTGATGAAAAACAATGATCCTTCGATGATCTGCATCACCTTAATTGTCGGCGCAGTAACAGTCGCCCTTCCGTTATGCCTCATGTATGTGTGCAAACGTAGTTCCGAAAAGAGAATTCAAGTCAAGTGAGTTCATAATTTTTTTTTTTTGTAAACAGGAAGGTTTCATACTAGTATACATACGATGTTACTTTTCACAAATTTAACAATACATATATATCTGCCGTGTACTCGTGTATCTACACCTGTTTTCTTATTTAGGAGATTAAATATCTTTGCTTAGTTTGCAACTGTAATCGGTTATGTTGGCTTTAAGGTGGTACTAAACAGATAGACCAAAATTCAAAATGTTTGAAACTTTGATATTCTGTTCTAACTAAAGGTATAATATCTCTATATGAAAGAAATTCAACCGGGTATATATATATATGTTTTTTTTTTTGGTTTTTTTTTTGTTTGTTTGTTTGTTTTTGTTTTTTTTTTTGGTTTTTTTTTGGCTGACAAAGTTTGATACATAGCCCTGTAAGAAGAGGCTGAAATCATATATTCAACATTAGAATGCAAATTATTTAAAACTTATCATTATATATCTTACAAAATATATGTGAGTTGACCTTTTTATATTACTTAACTTTAGTAAAATATATTGATACCAGTGCATGTATCATTGTGTGCACTGTGATATAATAATAGAACATGCATAGATTCACATGTAATGTGAAATCGTGAACAGGGCAAGACATGGACCCTGGATACACCTGAGGTGGGATCAGGTGCCTAGCATGAAAGCTGCTTTAACGCTGTTGACGTTTTAAAAATCACGTAGTGATTTGTGGTAATTCAAATTAACAAAAAATCAACGGTGAACTAGAATTATTGATGTAAAAACAAATATTAAATTGTTAAAGTGTCAAAATGAGGAGAATTGAACCATGGATTTCAGATATTTCGGATCACTGCAAAAAATACTAAAACAATCAGTAGATACCGTTATAATATTTGACTTTGACATCTAAATATGGCCTAATTGACCTTTAATGTACGTGAAGCATGAAGACATACATATGCCAAAACATCAGGTCTCTACTGTAAATGAATCAAAAGTTACATCGTTTAGTTCTAAATATGACATTGACCTTATATGTACATAAAGCATGGACACTCATACGTATGCCCAAACATCTCTACTATGAATCAATAGTTATGCTTTAAAATATATGTAAATGATGTACACACATTCTAAATATAGGCTCGAGAATGTCCTTTATATTGAGAAAAGAGATACAACTGATTTTACAGGTGTTTTGTACTACATATTGTACCTTAAACCATTTTTTTTTTTCATTTTAAATTTTAGTCCAGAAAAGATTAACAGTTCACATTGTGGTTGTCATAGATCCAATGAAACTTCGGCCACTGTAACAAGGTAAATATGTTGTTATATTAGAGAGAGAGAGAGAGAGAGAGAGAGCAATCAACACAATTTTGAAAAATTGACATTTGAATTAATCTGCTAGCTTGCAATGCCTCATACTGAAGGTTACAGGTAATCATCAGAGTAAAAGGATGACGCAAAATGGATTTATTTGATGAATATATAAGGAATGAATTTAATAGCTACCCAGGTTATACTGTTTAACCTGGTTGGGGCAGTTTACGTTTTTAAAAAATCGTGGTTTTTATTAAAAAAATATATAAACTGTTTCAACACAGGTACATGTAATACATGTATAACTTAGGTAGCTACGTGTATTAAATCCATTCTTTATAATATAATTTCCTAACAAAGTATTGTAGTACGGAAGCCCTGGAGAGACACTGACTTACTTGTTATGACGTATTTGTTATGACTTTTTTGTTGCTGGTTATTACCAAGTATAACAAAGCTATGGAGAACATGTAGTTGGCTTAAGTGTATTACTGAAATGATATATTTAGTCCTAGTTTACATGTAACATTGGTTTTTGATTGATTATAATTGTAGTTGAACGTTCAGTACAGTTGTGATTACTTAATTCTTACCTGTTATATCTTGTAACTTAGCTGTTATAACTTAATTGTTATTTGTTCATTCTTATTTGTTATTTCTTGTTACTTAGCAGTTATAGCTTAAAAATGACTTTTAAGGATGTACAACACACCTACCCCCAAAATTTCCTGTCGTTTAATTTTCGCTATTTTTGTATATCTTATACATGACAATATCTACTATGTGTATGTACATTTTGGTCAAAATCGTTCGAGCCGAATTTGGACACTCAGGAAGTTCCTAAAGTTACACCCCTTTGGCTGATCACGAGTACCAAAAAATTTCAACCAACTAACTATAAATCCCTTATTTTAAAATATTTAAGGTTAGCCTAGCTGTCAAAATTTGCTGAATCGTTCGTTTAACTATTAAGCACACAAACAAAGTGATTTTGTAGAGGTACACTTCGAGAAAAAGGATTTTGAAGAATTTAAACTGAAAGACTATGGTCCATTTTTGCATTGAAAAAAGCGTGATTTTCAAATGAAATATTTTTTATGAAAAATCTGTCGTTTAATTTTGAAAAATATAATTACTTCTTGTAACTGGTGATCAAAATGTTCTTGATAATTTTTTGAAAATTTTTAAACGACGCGTTCTGAATTTATAGCGGAAAATATCCCCTCCCCCTCTCTACGTAAGTTACGTTTCTCACAACATCTTTCAGTCTTGGGACGAAAGCAATGCTATGATTCTACAAATACAGGGTTCGAAATTCACTATATACAACTCGCAAAACGCGAGTTAGAATTCCCAAATTGCGAGTTAAAAATTAGGTAACTCGCAAAAACTTGCGAGTTGATTTTTGTTTGCATTGAAACTGTAGCAAAATTATATAATATGACAAAACACAATGCTTTTGATTTAAATCAGTAATTTAACTAAAAGTCACACAATAGTTGTATTTTGTGTATTGTACAGAAGTTACTTTTTCCTTAAGTTACATGTATTTAATTCATATAAATTTAACTTTAACTGAAAATTGCGAGTAGTCTTATAAAATTGCGAGTTCACTTTCTTGGTACTCGCAGATATTTGCGAGTTGTAATTTTAGGGAGTTTCTAAACCTGAAATACAAATAAAAAATTCTAGCTGGAAAATATCTTTTACTTTAAAATTGTAATGTACATTATACTTATCACAAATATAAAACTTTATATCTGCATTTAAATGAAGATGAATAAGCAATTTCTGAAATTTTAAGACCCCCCCCCCCCCTCCACTCTTATCTGCAATGCAGGACATTAGAGCTTGAAAAAAAAAAAACATCGGTTACGTCTGCATAATTTATTTAATTGGTATATTAAACTCCTAAAGTAATGTTCTTCATTCGTGTATACAGATTAAATATTGACTACTAATATTTTTTTCTTTTTCTAAATGCTATTGTTTTATATTAATTTATATTTTGTAAAACTATTTTTCTAAGAATTTTATGACCACGTGTCCGGCTTAGAGTTCATGTGTACACACAGGAGCAGTTTCAAACCTTTATATGACCTCTACTTGCATTGAATATTATTTTTTAAGTGAACCAAGAGTGGTGTATGTACAACTCTCTTGTGATGAAAATGGAATATATTTACATATAGGTTTTAAATTATTTCTCTTTTCAAACGAGAGGGGTGCCCCCCCGGGGGGGGGGGGGGGGTTATTGTATCCTTTTGTTGTAAGCTTCAATAAATAAAATGGAAATGATGAAGTCGTCCATATTAACTTCAATTATTTATCAATATTAAAAATTACTCATGTGCCTGAATCATCTACAATGGTATCATGTAAATTGGTATCAATCGTTTTGTTTTTATTCGAGGAAATGCGGACTGAAACTGTTTACAGTAAAAGATTTTTTCAGTGGGTGCAACTGTTGTATAAATTTCAGTAAATAATTTTTCACTTTTATACTTTCTTTAATTTGTATAAACTTTGGCTTTCAGTTCTTGTGTTCCTTGGAACACACTATAAATGTATCTGTGTATTTTTGTGAGGAAAAAAACCCCATAATTCTTCGGAAAACAGGAGGAATAACTCAGCTAAGGGGAGGAAAGACATACACGGAAGAGTCTATTACTTAACCAGTCAGGCAGTTCTGAAAAACAAATTCCGGTATGACTCTAGATTATGTAATTGGAGAGGGAAGGCCTAACCCGATTGAATTGAATGACCTAATAGTTTATGTGTTTTTCATATAGATGTTATAAAATCCTTTTTAGTCTAGGCATCATTAAGTAAGGCAATTATTTGAACTTCGTAAAGGAAACAGCTTATATAATTTATATAATAAGCACAAATATAAATCAATGGAATGGAATTAAGAATATTAAAGAATGGATTAAAATAGCTAAAAAAAAAAAAACCCTGTCCGCATCCACCAATCAACAAAGGAATCTATAAGATTAAAAAATAACAATAACCCCAATCTCACCCCCGAAAACTAAACTAAGGCAGTTTAGAACTTGGTTATCAATTTCAAGCAGGTATATAAGGGAGTCCATTTGTTTCTTTCTGGCATGTTGTATCATCTTTGAAAAAAAAACGAGGGGAGGAGGGGAAGAAAACAAAGGCAACTTGCTTAAAATAACTTTGACAAACCAACAAAAGAAAAAAAGAAGGGGGGGGGGAACTCGAAAATCTTTTGTTGTGTGGACGTGTGTGTGTATGTGTGTGTGTGTGGGGGGGGGGGGGGGGGTAAGGTTAGGACTTCTTTCACAGCAAAATAATATTTATACTTATTCATACACATTTGCCTAGTTTGCCTATACTGCCAAAAAAAGTGGTGGGCTAGGCAGCTTTTCAGCGAACATTTTAAAAAGTAAAAGGATGTGTCCCCTCCCCGCCCAGTGATACTACGACCCTGTACATGTATTTATTAAGGAAACGGAACAAAAATACTAGTAAATCTGATTTACACATGAAATAAACATAAAATATAAGTTAAAGTAACGGTTAAGCAGAACAGAAAGGTCAGTTTCATAGCTAACCCAGGTTGGTTAAATCCTTATCCAGTTTGGAAGGAATAAAAACCATTTGCTAAGAACATAATCCGCTCAGGTAGAAACATTATCAAGTAACTTTTAAAACCTAAAACTGAATCTAAAACATTCAGTTTGAAACCTTACCAAGTCGGGCAGAAATTATGAATAAGGCAAATTAGAAACCTAATCCACTCATGCAGGAACTGCAAACAGTCAGTTTAGAATGTAAACCAGTCAGGCAGAAACATGAACAAGTCAGTGAAGAACCTAACCCAGTCAGGCAGAATCATAAACAGTCAGTTAAGAACCTAACCCAGTCAGACAGAAACCAAACCCACTCAGGCAGGAACATAACACAGTCAATTTAGAACCTAACCCACTCAGGCAGAAACTTAACCCAGTTAGGCAGAATCACAAAACAGTCAGTTTAGAACCTAACTCAGTCATGGAGAAACCTAACCCACTCAGGCAGAATCATAAAAGAGTCAGTTAAGAACCTAACCCAGTCAGGCAGAAACCTAACCCACTCAGGCAGAATCATAAAACAGCCAGTTTAGAACCTCAGGCAGAAGCCTTACCCAGTCATGCAGAGTCATAAAACAGTCAGTTTAGAACCTAACCAATCAGGCAGAATCATAAAACAGTCAGTTTAAAACCTTACCCAGTCAGACAGAAACTGTACCCACTCGGGCAGAATCATAAAACAGTCAGTTTAGAACCTAACCACTCGGGCAGAATCATAAAACAGTCAGTATAGAACCTAACCCAGTCATGCAGAATCATAAAACAGTCAGCTTAGAGGCTAACCACTCAGGCAGAATCATAAAACAGTCAGTTTAGAACCTAACCACTCAGGCAGAAATCTTACCCACTCAGGCAGAGTCATAAAACAGTCAGTTTAGAACCTAACCACTCAGACAGAATCATAAAACAGTCAGTTTAGAACCTAACCCCTCAGGCAGAAACCTTACCCACTCAGGTAGAGTCATAATAGAGTCAGTTTAGAACCTAACCACTCAGGCAGAAACATTACCCACTCAGGCAGAGTCATAATACAGTCAGTTCAGAACCTAACCCAGTCAGGCAGAATCATAAAACAGTCAGTTTAGAACCTAACTACTCAGGCAGAAATCTTATCCACTCAGGATTAGAGGCTAACCACTCAGGCAGAATCATAAAACAGTCATTTTAGAACCTAACCCAGTCAGGCAGAAACCTAACCACTCTGGCAATATCATAAAACAGTTAGTTTAGAACCTAACCCCTCAGGCAGAAACCTTACCCACTCAGGCAGAGTCATAATACAGTCAGTTTAGAACCTAACCACTCAGGCAGAAATCTTACCCACTCAGACAGAGTCATAAAACAGTCAGTTTAGAACCTAACCACTCAGGCAGAATCATAAAACAGTCAGTTTAGAAC